AAAAAACCTTTATTATTCAAAAATATTAACAAAATAAATTTAAAAAATCTGAATAAAATGGATTTTGCACGGATGCTCCTCAATTATTATTGATATATAAATTTGAACTTAAGTTGACTATAAAATTTAAACCAAATGACACTTACTGTCAACTAAGTTGTTTTAATTACACTGTAGGTAAATTTTCCAAATCCGTGCTCGGTTTGGCTGTCAGGGCTAAAGAAGTTTTTCTCTTTGGCAATCCGATCCAGGGACACACTGTATACTGGTATATTATAATTGTGCCAAAATTCCCATGCTTTTTATTTCGTTTAATATAATATAATATAATATAATATCCTCAATTTTACTCAATAAAAAAAACTATAAAAAATTAAAAATTATATAAAAAAAACCTCAGAACACGTGTTTCTTTTGATCAACTAACCCCAAATTTTCCAAGATTTTTTTAAAATTTGTAACTGATGTGGGGGTCCAGTCCACTTGATTTTTTAAATGTATATAGGGTATTCCTAATGAAATGCTCCAAAACTTAAAAATTATCTTTGAATTTTGACCTGATACATGTAGCTGCAGCTAAACCGAATTTGTAATCTACGATCAAAAATTAGGTTTGCGTGTCCGAGAGTTTAGCTGTGTTTTTTCACCTCCCTACAGTGTAATTAAGTAAATTTATCAATACGAAATAAAAAAAATTTCTATTGAAGAAAAAGTTGATATGATTTTTATTTATGCACGACCATTTCGCAATGCCAATAATGCGGCTCGAATATACGCTCATTTATATTCTGAAAAACGATTTCTCAATTGTCAAATATTTGCCCGATTAGAGAAAAATTTGCGGGAGCATGGATCTTTTGAAAATCCTCAAAAAAGACATTAAACTGTTATAATAGAAGGAGGTAAAGGCTAGACCAAAGAATTAGGTAATATTTTATATTAACATTTATATTTATTTTAGGGTAGGTGCATTTTAAACATTTTAACAACCACGAGGTTTTCCTGAGAGAAATTAAAAACCAAAGCATTGGTGTTTTGATTAAGTATTGATTGTTTATAGGGAGGTAAAAAACCGTCGAAGCTCAGCAATGGCTTGAAAAGTGTTACCCACGGAAGAATCCGAACGCTCGGAACGTCCAAAAGAGGCATCGGCATAAACAAAGAAATTCTCCAAAATACGCTTAAATTTTTCTTATAATGTCTTAATAATCAAAATTATTTTGACAAAAGTCCAGATGTTAGTAGCAGGAGTACAATGTCTGGGAAATGATTGTCATGGTAAAATCATTTTTGTATGCCCTTATTGTATTAAATTTACACTTTAGCGACTTTTCCGAAAAACGGCATGGGGGTTGCCAAAATGCAAAAAATAGGTGTGGAGTGATGTAAAAGTGCATAAACAATCGGCGCAGGGTAAAAAAGTTGTATAATTATCACGTAATTAATAAAAAAAGGGTGCTGATAATTGAAGTGACTTACAGTGATTTTCTTTGAAAAAGAGCATGTAGCGAGTCAAAAACACGTATCTAATAGACATAAAATTTGAAAGTGAAGCGAAAAAGCTTGGGTTGGGTCGGGTTGGGTTGTTAAGTTTGGGTTGGTTTAGGTTTGTTTCGCTCACTTTTGCCTATTTTAGTGTACCTGCATAACCAAGATGACAGCTAATCGTCATAACCTCAAATTACCTGATTTTAAAAATTGCATTTATTTATTGCAATTTATGACGTTGTTTTTCATAATTCACGCTTTTTCACTTCCACTTTAAATTCACGGTAAGTCATTTCAATTATAATTGATAATTATCAGCCCCTTTTTTTATTAATTACGCGATAATTATGCAATTTTTTCACCATGCATTTTGGAAACTTTCTTGCCGTTTTTCGGAAAGGTCGCTAAAATGAAAATTTACCCTTATTGTAATCGGTCCTTTTATTTCATTGGCCAAACAGTCTGATGGTTGCGTATTTGGTCGATTTGGTTGCTTTTCAGAATCTTATATTTCCTATTGGATTCAGTGTAGTAATGATCTATGTTTTATTCATTTAAAAAATGAATGTAATTTTATCAATATAAACCTTAAGGTTACATTGATCACAACTCAAAGCATTGACACGTTGTTCCTTTTGTTCAGGTGTTAGAAAAGGCGGCATCCATCTTCCAAAAAGCTGTTCAATCAAAATATTATCGACACGTTATTTACATCTTTACATCTATTATAGGGCCTCTGAAATTTTAGTTAATTTAACTTTGCGGTCATTTAATAACATACGATGAATTTATTATATTTTCTGTAGTGCCAAATAGCCACATTTAAATTTACTTTTTTATACAAATGATTGCTTTAAAGAAGCAGAATTCTTATAAATTTGTCCAACCCATCACAGAGAAAAATTTGTTGGATTTGGTTTCATAATTTCATATAAATTTGTTTAACAAATTGGTGCTGAAAAATTGACAGGAACAATTTGTGCAAAATGTAGCAAATAATTGTAGTAAACTTATTATATTTAAAACTTACATAATGTATTTGACATTTTAACATATTTTCGGCTCATATAATTTGTGCAAATAAATGATTGTTTTATGGACTTTTTTAATATAATATTTTCTACGACCACTATGTAAAAGTCACATTTCGTAATGGCATCGTTCCTTAGAATATGAAACTTTTCATTGGCAACTTGCTAAAGGCAAGGCAAAACTCAAATGTAATGTGACATTTCTGTGTGAAAAGTGACTGTGTAAAAAGAAATTGACAGCATCGTAACTTTAAAAGCTGTCAAACACGTTTTTAGGTTATTTTGTTTTGAATTTGAATATAATAAAAAATAAAAGGGTCGTGGAAAAAACATTGTATTTCACTTGTGACAAAAGCTTTCTTTAACTTGTGTTAATGCACACTCGGCTTAACGGCCTCATGAGCAACACTCGCATGAAAAAGTCGCTTTTCAACACTTCTAAAACAAATAACTATTTAACAGATTTGAACTCTTTTCTTAACAAATTGTGCAAATGGTTAAATATAAAATCTTACTGTTTCCAAGAAATTATAGAAAAATGACCATTGACAAATGGTCATAATGACATGCTACCTTTTTAAATTTGTCACTAAATACTACTAGTAGTAGTAGTAGTAGTACAACTACTACTCCTATAGGAGTATACTATTATATTTTTTCGGTTTAAACTTTTACTATTTTCACGAAAATTCTTGTCTACATCCAAAGGCAGCATTAAAAATTGTTCTCTTCTGAATAGCGCAGGTAAGTAAATCAATTTTGGAATAGTTAAGTTGAGTTAAATATCCAAGAAATGTGCTATCACAATTGGCTGTATAATTAAAAGCTACACATAATGCAAATTTATTTTAAATAAAATATATTGGGTATTTTGGCTTGGATTACAATGATGTAGCAAATACAATAATGTAAGAATTTTAAAGCTAGTTTAAAAAATTGATCATTGAATAACTTTTTCAACTAAAAATACAATGTTTATTTAATATAAAACAAAAATTATTGCAACTCTAAATAACAAATATTCATTAAATCAACAGCTTATTTGCAAATTAAACCACAAACTATTTTTGGTCCACGTTCTGCCAAGGATTTTCCATTGTATTCAGGTAACTAAACAAATGAACCATAAATCCTGATAATGTATCACAGTGTTCTAAAGCGACATTAACAAAAACGGTATTACCTTATACGAGCAAATTTTCCAGTTAATTGTAGAAACTTTGAAACAGAAATTAATTGCAACCCGATAGCTTCTTGAACTTTACAATTTTGTCATATCAGTCATATCAAGAATAGAAAAAAGGTTATCTTTTTTATCAAAGGTATTATATTTAAATTTAAATAACTTAAAAATAAGGCAAACATACAACAAATTTTATTCTTAATTTTGTATACATAATTATGCTATTATCTTAATTTAAAAAGAGTATGCAGACTGCATAGTTTTAGAACATAAATGCTAGTTAAATTGGAAAAGTTTTTAGTCTCATGCAATGAATATAAAATTTCTTAAAAGAATTAAACACCAATTACACTTTTAAGCGTTAAAAGCAAAATAATGATAGATATAATATTATAATTAGGAAACCGTTATATGAGAAATTACGAGAAAACATAGCTGATTTTAGATCAACAAGATATGCAGTTTTAGTTTGTGCTGAACAGCTCTGCTTTGGTAAAATCGCTTTGTAATATTCTTGATCTACCTTAGGCAACCAGGAAAACATACTTCTTATAGCTTGTACTTTTTTTTCAGGCAGTTTTATCTTATCACGAGATTGCTTTACTTGGGCGATGTTATCGTTGGTTGCTCCCTTACTAATCTTCTGTAGAAGATTAATGGTTGTGTAGATGTTTTGTAAAAAAGAGGTTTTGAACTAGATTTGTCAAAAAAAGAAAAAAGACATATAATAACAATAAACAAAAACAAAAAAAATCAAAACACATAGCTTTATACATATTTCTCTTTGCCAAGTCCTCTACAAGCCCTAACATAATCGATTCACCGATTTTGGAGATTAGCCCGGACAAAAACTTTAACTCAATTTTATTTATATGTATACATAGGCTTTATTTATATGTATATATATAGATTTGAGTTGAAGTGAAAATCGAATCAAATTAAATAACTTAATTTAAATAATTTTAAAATATGTCTTAATAAACTTTTTCCAAACAAATTAGATTAATAATTTTTTAAATAAAATTTGATTTACTACGCGACTGCGGTGCAGTATAAGCAAGTTTGTTTGGATAATTTATGACTTTCAGTTTTCAGAATTTTAGTTTTAAAATTGCAAGGCTCCAAGCTCAAATTAAGATAGTAAATTCTACAACATTTTTTTTTAATATAATTAAGTTAATATATTGTATTTACTAATATTTTATTTCTGATCCCATACTTAAAAAAATAAAAGGTAATTTAATAAAATACCTTTTAAGATGAATTAACTCTATTAAATATTATTAGATTTTACTTACAGCGTTAATGTAGTTAATAAGACTAAGACCACCATCCCAGGGTTGCTCTTTGTCGCAGGAGACGTTTGATAACTTAAGGGTGTGTGATTGTTCAAGAGTTTGTAGACCAATGGCAAAAACGAAAACAGAGTCATACATCAAAGCTGCCTCTGCCTGCAATAAAACATATTTTAGACATTTTTATTGTACTTAACTTTACTAGAGCAGACCTTGTAGAAAAAATAATGCTGTTATGAATTTTTATTTAACATGATCCTCATGGGACTTATTTAATTAATATTTGAAATTAAATGCTATTAACATTAAATGAATAATATAAAAGATATATAAGTTTTCGGCATCATTGGCATTAGTTTATATGCAAACAGTATTTTTTATTAAAATTTTATCTTAATTTAGCTTATTTAAATTTAATTATTAATATTACTAACTATACTTATAAACTATCATGACAACACATTTAGAAACACTTGAAAGTAATATGTTCATATTGTTCACCATATTTTAGGCATTTTAGATAGAAATTAAATAATTAATTTTTAGTTTTTTTTATTTTGTTGCGTAATAGTATATTAAAAAATGCTAAGTAAATATGTTTTTAGTATAAGAATATCATTTGCCAAAGAACGAACAAACAAAAGTAAGCACAAAAGTAAGCACAAATCTTTATAGGGTATGTAAACAAGCCTAAATTAATAATAAAATCTATAGTGGCGTTAAGACCCTTAAAGTAAATTATCTTTGCCTTAGTACAGGAGTTTAAAGATACGCCACAGAATAACACATATAATAATAAACAATAAGTTTCTATACAAAAGCTTCTATAAGTGAGATTTTTTATTTATTTTTAAACCTTAGTCAAGCCACGTCAAGTGTGACCAGAAAATTTCACGAAATCACCGATTTTGAAAATAATCACATTATTGTGTAGTAAAAAAATTGTTTTAAAATTCGTTTTTTTGGTAATGTTATTAAGGTTGACAATTTTGTCAAACTTTAGAGCACGGTAAAATTGAAAAAATAGAATCTCTGGGATCACTCTGTATAATTGAATTAAATTTTACACACTAGTGTAGAAATGTTTAGACTATATAATAATCATTTAATTAAGGTTAATTTGTTTAAATAAAAGAATTTTGCATACATTTATTATAAACAATTGAAATTTTGTATGTGTTCTTCACGCTGAAAAAAAATTAATCTTGTGTCATAATATGCGGCAAACGTTCTCGTTTAATAAAATGTACTCAAAAATTTGTCCTTCATATGTCATTCCGGAGATATTAAATTTTTTGTCCCGCTGTGCGCTTGATCAGTACGCGGCGCGCTTCGCTGCCAGCTCGTCCGTTTTAACGGTGTGCCTGAACGAAGTTTAAGTCACATAAAAATGCCGCCAAAAACTGATTGTAGTTTCTTGTTCGGGACCCTTTGGTGACTTAAAAATGATATTTACCAAAGTTCTAGCTGCTCCTCATTTCGAAACAATTTTTTTACTGTGACATATAAGTCATGCCTACTACACATTAATGTTATTCTTTTCAAAATCGCTGATTTCGTGAAATTTTCTTGTCCCACTTGACGTGGCTTGACTCACCTATCAAAATCAATAATATTTTTAATTTAGCTTGTAAAAATATTGAATACCCATGTTTTTATATCCATCTTGACCGATTTTTAGTCTATTATAAGGAGTATTATGGGAGTGCATATTATTTGATGTAGAATGTTTTGTTTAGTTATTAAAATAACATTAGGAATATAAAGGCCAGGTAAAGTTAATAATTTATATTTTTTAAACAAAGATTTACAGCTTGTCCGTCTATCGCATCCTTCTGTCGATGGACCCCAGTGAATTATTCCGTAAGAAGCCACCGACTAAAAAAGCCCATAGTACATTAAGATGAGCTCATTGGTTGAAACTGTGTTTTTTAGTTGCCTAAATAAAAAACATACACTGCTTAATTGTTTTGTTACATATTCAATGTGTGTAGTCCATGTTAGTTTATGATCAACAAAAATTTCTAAGAATTTGGTGGATGTTTCTTGACAAATTGATTAATCATTAATTTTAAGCAATAAACTTTTTTCAACGGGCGTGTTTTTGTGCAAAAATAAATAAAACACGTTTTGGAGACATTTAGTTGCAAACCATTGTCTTTGCACCAGTTTACCATTTCCTCAATGGTATTTGGAGTAAGAGTTTGTAAAGAATTTAGATTAGGCTGAGAAATAATCATGTTTGTATCACCTGCATAAATCACAGTTTTAACAATGAAATTGCAATAATTTGTTATATAATTAAGTTGTGTTGTTAATAGTAACTTTTAGTACAAAAGGACCATTTTTTCTTTCATTTGGTATGACATGTATGGCATGTTAGTAGCCTATTTTCACTAACTAGGCTTCTTTTTTCATGTGGAAGTTTGTAGATTTTCTCACAATTTCGAGTATTTTCTTTGACTTCTATCACTGTCTCGATTGAAGCGTTCATGTTGTCCAAAATGTCCTGTTCTTTTTCACACGAGTCACAGAGAAATTCTTTTGGATCGCGTGGAGGGTTCACTATGCAACTTTTATGTGTGTATTAAAACGAATAGATAAACTTAAATAAAACAAGTGCCAAACCCCGCCCTCTGTGGTAGGGATTTTATAATTATTTTTGTTTGAGAATTTATAGGTTTTATTTTTATCGAATTCGTTTGTTTTGTTTTAATTTCTGCAAATAAAAACTAAGTATTGTTTAAAATCCTTTAAATTCCAGTTAATGGCGAAAATGTATTTCTTAAAAACTATACACATTTCCCTACGACAGCGTCGGAGCTACTGAACAAACACAGTATGCAAGTTGCATAATGCAACAACACTGCATGCCGCGCTGTTGCCATATGCTATTATTGTTTCCTAAAAGGGTTGTTTTTCTTATTTTTTAATATTAAAAGTAAGAAAATTAACTAAATTAAATTATTTTTGACATATTATTAATTTTTTTGTTATTTTTAAAGTTTCAAACAAATAAAATTGATCTATTTATTAAATAATTATAATCGTTCTCTTCTGATTTAAAACAACCTGACAACTATGGTTCGTAATTACGAATGGCTTAGTTTAAACCACGCCCAATTAAAATTTGTTTCTTTTTCTCTGATCAGAATATAATTTGTCATCCTTGTCTCCAGCCTTACTTGATTCTATACAGTCTGTATAGGAATTGCACACGGTGCACTTAAGTCCTGTTCGCACAAGTCTGGGAGCTGTTTTCACACTTGTCGTTGTCAGTCGGCGACTTTTTATTCCATTTTATTGATATTGTTTATAAAAAAATTTACAAAAATATTATATAATAATTTATTTATTAAAAAGATTTTAATTAAGTTATGATATAAAAGAGCCACCTTCAAATATTATTTATTAAAATTGGTGTAGAATAGTTAAAAAAAGAGTTTTAGCAAATAACTTTTAATTTGTGTGATTTTCATAGCGATGTTATTAAAACAGTTACAGTGGAATGCAGATTTATACTTCATAGGCCAAAAAGTATCTGAAAGTTTGACTGAATAAATGCGAGTCGGACTCGCGCACACTACTTTTTTCGGCGATGTTTTACGGTATTGTGCACTGTACAGCCTGGTACTAAGACGGTTGTCTTAGTACCATGTCTGTAGTACAGACTCTGTACAGCTCCTTCTCCACAGCAAAGTATTGTGCTCAGCGGACCAAAAGAAACCATTTCAATGTATTTCTTGGCGTTGAATCCGAGTTTATGGACAATAACGATATTTTACAATGCAAAAATGTTTTTTTAGGTTAGAAAAAAACTGGGAGTGTTGGATTTCAACCATGAATTCGGATTTAGTGACCCAAAATCCAAAGGATATGACTACTTTAGTTCGTCGGACATCCTACTTTTATTTTTTGTAGGGTTGTGTAATTAATTAGTTTTAATTAATATTTTTTTTGCTTTTTATTTTTTTCCGTTTTGCGTAGGCTTATAAACTTTGAGCTTAGCCTAATGCTATAAATAATTATTATTATATTGAACAAACGGCCATTTTATTTATTTATAATGACTACAGAATATGTATTATAAAATTTAAGTTTAGATATTTATTTCTTGCCATTTATAAAAAAAGCAATATTTCAACGATCTATTTTCTAAAATTGCCGAATTAGTTCGATTTTAGTTGGCGTGGTAAATTGAGTCAACGTGGGGCTGATTTATTACATTGTTCAATTCTTTCTCCGGATACAAGGGCGCCTTTCTAATCCTACAAATATACATGAAACCCTCGAACACGCTTTATTTGTTCTTTTCTAGTTCATAGCATCAATTCCATGCTCCATAAAGACATCTTAAGGTGTTTATTGATTCTACTAAGCTTTGCAAAACAAGGAATTTTATTAAAACGTTGTTTCTCAAACTATGGCCTGCGAAACACTTTTAATCAAAAATATATATATATAATATGTTCCGATGGATACATGGGTTATATTATACCTAAAATGGTTATTTTTTTGTAGCATACTTTTATAGACCTTTGAGGCTAACACAAAAGGTAACCTTTCAATATCAATATCGTTATTAAATTAAGTTTAACCAATTAGGTTTTGTTAACCAACATTAATTAATAAAAATTTTAGTACTTGTCTATTTAATGGTTATATACAAAATATACTTTGTTTGTAGTAAAGGCCATTTATCTAAAATTACACGGGCAATAAACTTAAGTCCAATGTAAAGCAGTATTTCCTGCTTTGTAAAACAAATTCCAAATTCTCTATCGTATATTTCTTAGTATATAAACAGTTTGGCCCCTATGTCGCTATAAATTAGGCTGTTATCTGGAAAAATAAAGAAGAAATGCTTTTAGTAAGCACAAGTAACCGCTATATGAATTTATTGACTTAAGTCCAAAAACTGACAAGTCGTTCCGTAACTAATAGGTTTTACCTCATTCACAATTCTCTCATAGTTTTATTAATGCCTAAGAAAAACTTATATAAAATTATATGAAATTAATTAAAACAAACAGTTTGTCACAAATGTCGCCATAAATTAGGATGCTAATTGCAACAATAGAGAAATGCTTTTAGCACCACTCAATACTAGGAACTGTTATTTCCAAACTTATAAGCAAAGACCGGACCTTTAGGCACTTAAAAATTAAAAAAAGGCATAGGTACCTACAAAAACCACACAGTTTTAAATCTAGGAGATCACATCGGTTTGTTTATTTATTTTGCTAAGCTAAATTGCAGGTCTTTCCAACGCGTTGGAACGGGGGGGCGTAAAGAAATTTGTTGGGAAAATCCATTTAAGATCATAAATCTTTGTTTTGTTTAAGTTTTTCACATTCTTAAGTTTAAGCCTAAGTCCTCCGCCGGTCTGTCCGTCTCTCCTACGGAACCATAATAGGTAGCCAGTTAAAAATTTCATAGAAAATGTTTTATAACGAATATCCTAACATATATTAAAAAACATAAAAAAATACTTGTTATAATTATTTAGAGAAGTAACATCCTTTGGATTTTAGGATATTTTTGCATTGTAAAATATGTACAAAAACGCTTATGTTATTTTTTTGATACTGTCACAGTATTACTGTGTTATGTTCGGCTCAATCGCAGTCACGGTTAATGACGCGGAAAGCTAAGAGGATATAAAAACAACGATCAGCAGCAACGGAGCTCACTCAACGTCTAACTCGCAGCAGAGCAGCAACAGCAGCCCAGCAGATAAGACCTGAAGGTGGTACATGAGATTGCACAGAAACGTCGTCAGACATACGGTTCTTTTAAGAACCAAAAACCGACAACACGGAGCATATCCCGGAAAACTATTAATACATATAACGCCCGTGGAAACCCAAAGCAGAACATATACATGTAGAGTACATAGTAAGAAAAAATTACAGAATATTACGTTGGCCACAGAGTAGCCAACGTTTTATTTTGTAAAATATTTACCTTTTACAGAATATATTCGGTAAAATCACTCAATAACCGTAATAATTTATGCGTTTATTTTAAACACCATATTTATATGTAAATATTACATATTTTTATCCGTAATTTTACCATCATTTCTTACTGTGTATTGCACACTATTTTCGGGACACCTTATATAATTAAAACATAAAAGGTAAGGCTACCTTATAAAAGCCGACATACTTACTTCAATAAAGGAAGAGTTTATGGGTGGAGCATCAATGCTAGTCTGGAACTTTTCCATGTCCCGCAGCACATCCTTAACTGCTAAATCGTCTATATCTACGACTCGAAAGGCCGTCATGTTAACGAAGTTGTATTTAAAATCCTCCAGGTCGAAAGTTTCAATATCGAACGTTGTGAAAAGATAGTGGTACTTGTAATCATTCATTTGGAGTTGTAGTATCTATTAGAAGGATAAATATATTTAAATAAATAAATTTAATATAGTACGATTAAAAATAAATAGTAATGGTAGCGAAAGAAAAACAAAAAAATAAATTTAGTAACATTTAGTCGAATAAACTCCTTTAAGCATAAAATAATAGATTTTATTTTTTGAAATATTAAACTGTTAAAGATTCCTAAAATCCTGGAATTTCGCACGGACATCATTACAACTGTGGGGATTAGTCTGGTGAAATAAATCTATTCTGTGAATAAAATTGTGTGTACCTTGTTAAAACATAAAGTGTCCCTAAACTTAGTGGCATAAATTTAGGAGCAGATTAAGCAAGTCAAAATAAGACGAAAATCTAAATAAATATTTTTCCTAATTACGTATGTTTAAAAGATACAGGGTGATAAAGTGTTACTTATTATATCAGTTTTTTAAATCTAACCTCTACTATGGTAGTCTTGGAAAGGTGATATTTTGCGAACAGTCACTTACTACCAAAACACATATTCACACATAATTACAATTGTTTGAGTGAACACAGTGTCGTAGAAACGGGGGTTGCTTTAAGCTTATTGTCCCACACAAACTTTGAGGTTAGGTTTTTGTAACATTTGATGCAATTTTTCGATTAAACAGTTCGGCTACCATTAAAAAGCTGTACCTCTCCAACTTCGATAAAATAAACCGTTTCCGAGATTACAATAATTGTTATATCGCATTATTTAAAACGATTAAAAGGTATATGATAACAAATTTTATTTTTTAATTGAATAAACTAAAAAGGGCATTCCATGAGCCTCGGGACTTTTTGCCCTGACCGTCACATTAAAAAATAGGTAGTTTTTTCAATTAAAAAATTTGTTAACATAAATTTAGTCCTTTAATGCGATATAACAATTATTGTAATCTCGAATATCTCGAAAACGGTTAATTTTATCGCAGTTTGAGAGGTACAACTTTTTAATAGTAGCCGAACTGAGTAATCGAAAAATTGCATCAAATGGTATAAAAACCTCACCTCAAAGTTTGTATGGGACAATAAGCTTTAGCAACCCCTGTTTCTACGACACTGTGTTCACTCGAACAATTGTAATTATGGGTGAATATGTGTTTTGCTAGTAAGTGACTGTTCGCAAAATATCACCTTTCCAAGTCTACCGTAGTAGAAGTTATATTAAAAAAACAGATACTTAAGTAACACTTTATCACACGTAATTAGGAAAAATATTTATTTAGATTTTCGTCTTATTTTGACTTGCTTAATCTGCCTCTAAATTTATGCCACTAAGTTTAGGGACACCTTGTATATATATATATATACCTATTATTATTTCCTTTTTTTATTTTATAAAAAAACTTTTTATTAAAATATTTTATAAAAAATTATAAATCACGCAAAAAAGTATATACAGTCTATAAATTTTACAATAATTAAATTGGTTTTCAATGGAATATATGTTGTTTGGTATTGTGGTGCCTAATTTTTTATTATAAGCTAATAACTCTATTTCTTGAATAAAAATAGCACACTATTTTTCTCAAACTCTCATTCTTCTTTGTTAAGCTTTGTCAAACACCTCGAAACTTTTTTAAAACTTTGGTGCTAAAGCAAAATATGCTATACAAATTTGCAGATGCAACTAAGATGTAATGACAGCACGCTTAATTAAGTTAATTTAAATTATTTTAATAAATATTGACAAAATATTCTAAGGGTGTTACAAAAATTTAATATTTTTTTACCTTAGATTATGCCTAAATGTTTAGTTAAAATACAAGCCCTTAATATCAATTTTAAGAGTTTTTTATCAAAATTTCCTGTTAAAATAACAATATACAATGGCCACATTAACTCTGAGGGATTGGAATAGTCGATAACTTTGTTAATGATAATTTCTTTAATTTTTTTTAATAATAAAGTAAATAGTCTGGAGATTTTATAACACTATTGAAATAGTATATTTTGTAACGAGTTTGGAATACGGCATATTCCGCTCAAAAGTTTGTCACACGAGCAGAAGGCTGCTAAGCACGGAGTAAATGTTAAACTTTCGTCCCTGCTGTTAGGGACAAAAGTAAGTACTTTCGAACAAGGTATGAAGAAAAATTATTTTTTATTTTGTTCTGCGTAATTTAATACCCCTCGAACATGGAATCACCAGAATAACCATAACACCCCACATCCCGATCATGGGCTATTTGTTTGCAATAATCACATTATTTAAACTCCGATACTCCGAATCAGTTGTATCCGCTATGACAAAGAGGTTCCAGCAATATTTGATATTTTCTATTTATCAATAATCGATCCTAAATAACTTAAATCCAATTTTACGCAAAATTCCGTCTTAAAAAGGCTGTGAAGGTTCACACATTACATACAATTTTAGGCAGAGAAAATACGTTATTCAGTTAAATCACATTAACAGCGGCAACCACGCGTTAGTTGCGCGCCGGCGTTGCGTCAGTAGTCGACTCGGCATTCGCCGATTACGATTAGTGCCGATTTTATTGCGGCAAGCGGCGGCGGCTTTTGCTTATGTATATAACACCCCGATCATGGGCGATTTGTTTGAAATAATCACATTTTGTTTTGACTCTGAAACAATTTTCGCGCGGTCATCACATTATTTAAACTCCGATACACACATTACATACAATTTTAGGCAGAGAATAGTATATTCTGTAACAAGTTTGGAATACAGCATATTCCGCTCGAGTGAAGAGTTTGTCACACGAGCCGAAGGCGAGTTTGACGGTTTCACGAGGGCGGAATATGCAATTCCAAACGTGTTTCAGACTATACTTTTTCTATGTTTCTACCATAGAAAAATAATTTAATTGAAAGAAAGTGAGGTTGGATCGGTCTAAAATTTGTTAGATATTAAAAACAAAGTTGTCTCCACGAGTTTTTATTCTATTATCCGATGATAGAATATTTCATTCTGTAACACTTTACGGAATATATGTCATTCCATAGATAAAGGTGATATTAGAACGGTCAAATTCGGTAATAGGAGTAGAAAAAATACGTTATTCCGTATTCCGATTTGTTGACACGTTTTAACCAGTTAAACCTGTTTCCAAAAGCGTATAGTTATATTCTTTGATCCGTTAATCGTTTGTAACGCTCTAAAAATGAGTGACCGCAAAAAATATTAAAGCGGTGCAACTAAAAAAAAAATTAGAGAAAAAACGAGAAAAATTACCAAAATTAGACATGTTTTTTTCGGCGGTCGCAGTCTGAACCAAACTTTCAGCCATCTACGTCGAAATGCGTTGACAATAATTCTATTTCTCAAGACGAAGACCACACAGGAGAATTGATCGGTCAAGACGGTATACCACAACTTCAGGTAGCTAAAACCACAGACGTCAGCACAGACGAACTAACTTTCGTGTGTGCTAAAACTAAAAACTTGGATGAAATATCGTCAGACGCCGTGGTATCAAAATCAACTAAAGAAACTGATTTAGGCCATTTTGTTAATAAACCGTTATTATCAGATGAACAAAAAAGGCTAATAATTGCCAAGCATTCTTCAGGTTTTGTAAAGTTTATTGGGCCTTTTCCTAAGAATCCAGAGTAACAGTACAGGAGATTTTCGTCAAAACTGTATTACTCTCACTTCATATGGCCGAGTGCCACGATTCTGGCTTCATTATTCAAAGATTTTAGATGCTGCCTATTGTGAACCTTGCTGGTTGTTTTCGTTCCAAGACAATCAGTGGCGAACCGGTGTGCAAGACTGGAAAGGAATTTCATACGTCCAAGCATGTGCCGTTTATGATGCCTGGAAGAAAAACAAGACCATAGACGAGGCCACTGAAAATGAGATAAGAGAACAGGCTTCTTTTTGGCGTATGGTCTATTCGATCATGCTAGCAAAAAGTTCACTTGCTTTTAGAGGACACCGTGATGAAATTGAGAAAAATTGTTTCAGCGGAAACTTTTTATCTACAGTCCACCTTTTAGCCAAATACGATGATGTCATGAAGAAAGTCATAAATATGCCAAAAGGTAGGTATTGTTTTTTTTAGAATTATAATACCTTCATGCGTTCGTTTTTATTTTAGGTGCTACAAAATACCTTAGTCCAAAAATACAAAATGAACTCATTCTTTATTTAGGACAGAAACTTGAAAACCACCTTATATGTAAAATAAATTTGGCGCCATTTTTCTCACTTATTCTTGACACTACCCAGAATATTTCTAAATGCGACCAATTAATGAATCTTTTTTGGGATTTTATCAAGTAAAAGATCAAACAGCCGAAGGTTTAGTGACAGATGCTTTGAGCTTCTTTGAGCAGCATAACATAAGAAAAGGTTACGGACAGAGTTATGATGGCGCTAATGTAATGAGCGGCACTTATAATGGGGTACATTATGTGTTATCAGAGGTTATCAGAAATTTTGCTTCAAAAGCTTTACAAAAAGAAACAATTACTTTAGACGAACACTCAGAGAAATATCATGTCATGAAAAGCATATGAAATGATATTAATTTAAATAATCGGGTAAATTTGATTCAAATAGAAAAAAATTTAGTTTTATATTCATTTACCAACAGTTTTACAATGTTTTTAAACACTTTTAAAGTGTACTCTTTTTAAAATATATATACAAAAATAAATCTATTTATTTCATTGCCTTTCTCAACGTTATTTTAAAAATATATGTATTATAAAATTGTTATACACCTTTAAATTTAATGAGAAACACCAATGACGCCAAAACATATTTGAATCCCTTTGAATTATTAGGAATTCAAATATGTTTTGGCGTCATTGGTGTTTCCCATTAAATTAATAGGTGCATAACAATTGTATAATACATATCTTTTTGAAACAACTTTGAGAAAGGCAATGAAATAAATGGATTTCTTTTTGTATATATAATTTAAAGAGGGTACACTTTAAAAGTGTTTCAAAACATTGTAAAACTGTTGGTAAATGAATGTAAAACTAAAATTTTTTCTATTTGAATCAAATTTACCCGATT